CAATTTTCAGTGTGTAAGTCTTTCACCTTCCTTGGTTAAATTTATTCCTACATATTTTTTTGGTGCTATTATAAGTTGGATTGTTTTCTTAAATTTTTTGATAGTTGTTAGTATACAGAAATGCAGTAATTTTTGTGTACTGATTTTGTATCCTGCAACTTTACTGAATTTGTTTATTAGTTCTAACAGTTTTTGGTAGAGAGTTTTCCATATATAAGATAATGTCATCTAAAAACAGTTTTATTTTTTCCTTTCTGATTTGGATGCCTTGTTTGTCTTCCTTGCATAATTGCTCTGGCTAGGATTTCCAGTACTATATTGAATAGAACTGTCTAAGTGGACATTATTGTCTTATTTCTGATCTTAGAGGAAAAGCGTTCAGCTTTTCACTGTTGAGTATGATGTTAGCTGTGGGCTTATATATAGCCTTTATTATTTTGAGGTATACTCCTTCTATACCTAATTTTTTGAGAGTTTTTATCATAAAAGGATGTTGAATTTTGTCAAATGCTTTTTCTGCATTTATTTAGATGATTATATGATACTTACCCCTCATTCTGTTAATATGGTTTATCACACTGATTGATTTGTGGATGTTGAATCATACTTAACATCTCAGGAATAAATCCTATTTTGTTATGGTGTGTGATCCTTTTAATGTGCTGTTGAATTTAGTCTGTTAGTATTTTGTTGAGGATTTTTACACCTATGTTCATCGGGATATTGGCCTAAAATTATCTTGTAGTGTCCTTGTCTAGATTCAGTGTCAGGGTAATACTGACCTTGTAAAATGAATTTGAAAGTGTTCCTTCCTCTTCTCTTTCTTGGAAGAATTTGAGAAGGATTGACAATAATTCTTCTTTAAATGTTTGTTAGAATTCATCACCAGTGAGGCCACCAAGTCCTGGGCATTTTTTTGTTGAGAGGTTTTTGATTACTGATTTAATCTCCTTTCTCATTATTGGTCTGATCAGATTTTCTATATATGACCCTATGTTGCCCTTCCAATAGTTATATATTTAGTTATGTGTGGTCCTATGTTGCTCTCCTAGCAGTGGTTCTCTTTTTCCTTTCCTGTTTCACACATCTTTTCCAAATGCTATATGCTGGTTAGGTAACTCAAGACAACCTGTTATACAGTATGGAGGGTCCTCAAAAAGTTAAAAATAGAACTATAATGTGACCCAGCAATTCCACTACTGGGTATTTAGCTGAAGAAATCCAAAACACTAATCTGAAAAGATATATGTACCCCTATGATCATTGCAGCTATTTACAATAGCCAAGATATGGAAGCCACCTAGGTGTCCACCTATAGATGAATAGGTAAAGAAGATTTGGTACATATATACAATGGAATATTAATTAGTCTTCCGTAAAAAAGAATGAAATTTTGCCATTTGCAACAACATGGATGGACCTAGAGGATATTATACTAAGCGAAATAAGTCAGACAGAGAAACACAAACACCATATGATTTCACTTATATGTGAAATCTAAAAATACAGAAGTAAATAGAACTATGAAAAACAGACTCACAGATACAGAGGACGAATTGATGGCCATCAGATTGGAGGGAGATATGAGGGATGGGTGAAAGGGATTAAGAAGTACAAATTGTCAGTTATAAAAATAGTCATAGGTATGTGTAAAGTACAGCATAGAGAATCTAGTCAATAATATATAATAACTATGTATTTATATTATGTGTCAGATGGGTACTAGCAGGGTGATCACTTCATAAGGTATATAAATGTCTAATCACTATGTTGTACACCTGAAACTAATATAATATTGTATGTCAACTGTAATGGAAAAAGAAGTTTTAAAAAAGAAAAAAGAAAAAGAACCTTTATATCCCTTAGAGGACTGACCAAAAAAAAAAAAGACGATAGCCTGTTATAGAAACAAAGGACTCAGTGCTTCTTTCTTAATTAAGGATAGCAGCTGCCCTAAACATTATCACTACTCTGAGTAGAAGAAAACTGTAGAAGAGACTAGTTTTATTCAAGTTCTTATTTTGTACAGCAGCTTTTTATTGTTCTCCCTGCTAAGGGTTTAAAAGCCAAATAACATTTTTTTCACAAAATATAAAACTTAGCATAATCACTTATGTTAGTGCTATGCACAGTGCAGTTCTATTTTAATTTTTCCTATCAAAACATTAATATTCTCATCTTCAAGGAGTTTATGGACTGGCAGTTGACACTGATATGAATGAATGAATGAATGAATACATACATACATACATACATACATACATACATACATACAGGATGTGTTGGTGTATGTGTCTGTATATATTTTCAGGTTGCCTGTTTCTTCTTGAGTGATTTTTGTAGCTTGTATCTTGCAAGGAATTGGCCCATTTCATCTGTATTAATGAATTTATGGGCATAGAGTTTATTTGTAGTTCCTTTTTAATGTATGTTAGAGCAATAGTGATGTCTCCTCTTTCATTTCTGATGTTGATAATTTTTGTCTTCTTTTTCTTGGTCAGCTTGACTAAAGCTTTATCAATTTTATTGATCTTTTTAAAGAACCAACTTTTTCTGATGGTTTTTCTGATTTTCTCTACTTTTCTATTTTCAGTTTTATTAACTTGTTCCTCTAATCTTAATTTCCTTTTTTCTGCTTACATTTTTTTTATTAAATTTATTGGAGTGACATTGGTTAATAAAATTATATAGGTTTCAAGTGTACAATTCTGTAATATATAATACATCATTTATGTATTGATAATGCATTGTGTGTTCACCACCCAGAGTCAAATCTCCTTCTGTGTAAGTTGCTGATTTCAATCCTTCTTCCTTCTTTTCTACTACATGCATTTAATGGTATACATTTTGAACAATGGTTATATTTAAATTTTAGTAAAACGACATGGTTTGTCAGGAAAGCGTCCTGAAAGAATGGGGTTTATGGCACACACAAAAGGAAAATTTTGCTAAATCGTGGGGTTTATTTGACAAAGTAGGAGAGAACAGTAGTCTGGCAGGGGAAGGAATAGTTAGAAGTTTATGTTCGTAAATAAAAGTATGATGAAAGAAAAGGCATTAAAGATAACTTGTAAGGTGTATTATTTCCCACTAAACAATTCTGTATTTGTGTTTTATTTAAAAAATATTAGTGATAGTGATTAAAATCTCTCTGGCATTGCTACTGAAAAGTGTGTGACTACACTGTACATACTCAAATGCCTCTTTAAAGACATCATCATGCTACAGTGTGTTTCTAATATATATCACCTGTACAGTTTTCTTACTTCACATATAGATGATATAGTTACTAATGTAAGAAAAGCCTATATCCTATATTTTACTGATTTTTGTTTTCTTTTCCTGCAGAAATGCTGAGCCGATTGTCAGGATTAGCAAATGTTGTTTTGCATGAATTATCAGGAGATGATACTGATGAGAATATGAGGGCTTCCTTAGACTCTGTGAGTAGTTCTATTCTGAATTAAACTGATAAGACATATGTTCCGTGTTCCTATGAGGAAAGAATTTAAAATAGAAGAGTATGAGCAGCCTCCATTGTGCTAGGTAGAAGAGAGGATTAAGAAAAACATTGAGACTTTATAAATGATCCTTCTCCTGTAAGTTTGTAACATGAGAGCCATAGTGATAGGAATCAAGTCCTGGATGAGATTCAAAATATCTTTCTCATTTGTCCCCCTGAGCCTTGTGTTAGGTTGTTTTAACTCCTCTTTGGGTGTATATTCTATTTCCATAGGAAAGATTTGAATGACAGATGGTGGACTGGAACACCTTTCTGGTTTGAGAGTATCTGTTCACTATGCTAAATTCACCCAGAACTTCTCTTATAGTTTGTATTTTATGTTCTAAGGGCCACATTAAGAATCAAAAGAAGCCCTTTAGTTTTCTGAAAAGACAAGCCCTACTGCCAAGTGGTTAGGAGAATTTTATTCATCTGCTCTCAATTTTAAACTTTAAATTTGGGGCTCTTCCACTTAATGGTTTGTGATCCCTTTATTTTCCTCTTTGGTAAAATTAGAATAATAAGACTAAATCAGGTGGTGTTTGTAAAACGCTTAACATTTACAAAATACTTATTATAATGGCTATGGTAATAATTATTATTGGATCAGAGTTGGAAAGATTTCTTGAGGAAGGATATGAGTTGGGATAAGATGACGCTGAAATGAAGGAACTCCTGTTTGGAAGCTAATACCTTTTCCCTGGTGCATTGGCAACTTTTTGTCTAAATACTAGGAATTACCCCAAGAGTCTGACATGGAATTTAATGATAAAACACAAGAGGATGTTGTGGAGCGCCTGTCTTATGCAGAGCAGTTGGTGGTGGAGCTAAAAGAAATCATCAGACAGAAGGATATTGAACTGAAGCAGAAAGATGAAGTTCTACAGGTACCATGTTTTTGTCCTTTCTTAGTGAATGTTTGATTAAAGACAGGCATAACATTCACTTAGATTTTTCTCTTCACTTAGATTATTAGAGAATCTGATTCTTATTTCCCTAATACTGTAAGATGATGCCTACTGAGAATAACTTTTGTTATGTTCTAGATAAGTGGTAAATAAACATTTATGTTTTTATCATCATTGTTCTCTGACAGGAAGAAAGAAAAGCTGCCGATAATAAAATAAAAAAACTAAAACTTCATGCTAAGGCCAAATTAACTTCTTTGAATAAACACATAGAAGAAATGAAGGCACAAGGAGGGACTGCTCTGCCTGTGGAACCTCAGTCAGAGGAGCAACTCTCCAAGGTGTGGTGACTGGGTGTATGATACATATTTTCTGCATGCAGGAGCCTTCTAATATAGCAGCTCTTCACTAATCGCAAACATTTACGAAGCTGAAGTAAGACAGCACTAAATGCTGTCCTTTCTTACAGAACTTGCGGTCTGGCTGGTCCGTGGGCCACACACAGGGAGAATAAAAGGCCAACGAGAAACGTGGAAATGAAATGCCAGTTGTGACTCAGACTTTCAGAGAATTAAAAAGGCGAATGGGAGGAAGTCAGTCTGAAGCGAGGCATTTAGATAGGAGGGGCACATACCTTTCGAAGGAGTGTCATCATTGGTTAGAAGATTAAACTAGATGGTCTCCAGGTTTCTTCCAGCTCTGAAATTCTTTAATTCAGTTACTTGATATAGAATGTTCTTTGTCCTCGTGTGGCCACGCAGTAGTGGATTAAAAGTTTCATGCACTGTCGGCTGAATCAGTTAGATGTCCTTGACCTCCCTATAAGGTATGCTCTCTAGGTTTGTGACCACCACCAATAAAACTGTCTGAGGTTGGAGACAGAAGAGTAAAGCACGTGGTACCTTTTGAGGACTAGCGCATTGTCCCAGTTCTCATCCTTAGTACCTTTCCTATAGCTCAACCCCAAATACTCATATTTAGCCAGCCATTCAGAGAGCAACACTGGAGAATCTGGTATAGAATATATGGAGGCTGGTGTATCACATGTGCACACTACAGCAGGCTTAGACTTCACTCTGCATAAGAAATCTTTTTATCTCCTTAATTACACCTTGTTTTACCCTTTGACCCTCTCGTATTCTTATTCTCAATACTTTTAGTTGTTGGGAAAGGAGGTTTTAATGGATTCTCTAGGCACAACCCTTGGGGTCACAGCTTTCTAGTACCCTGGTTAGTCTTTCCTTTCTGAGTCTAATGCACTGAAAACATTACTTTTCCTGCATTGATAGCCTTATTTGACTTCTCAAGCTTATTTTAGAAGCTTCTCTTATTCTTCTCATGTAATTTCATCTTATTTTTCATCTAAATATGATTTTTTTTCTTACTCTTTTGGTTTCTCCTCTGGTAATTCTTTCTTCCCCTGGCTGTGGTAACACCAACCTCTCTCACCCCATGTTGCTTTGTTTCTTCTAACTTACCCTCTGCTGTGTTGTTAGATTTTTAAATTATCTATTTTATATCCTGCCCTTTTTTTTTTAAGTTCTGAGACTGTGAACAAATCAACATTTTACAGTGTCATTTCCTTCCTCTGTTACATAAAAGAGTTGGATGAAATGATTTCTAAGTTCCAGCAGTCAGTCACAGCAGTCCTTTAACTATCGTGTACCCACCCATTATAGAGCTAGGTAGTCTGTAGAAAATATAATGGAAGAAATTATGGCAGTCCTCAGATGCTTGACCAACTGCTAGGTGGAAGAAAGTGTAAAATTATTCTATGTCGTTCCAATAAGCAAACGAGGTTTGTTTGGGGGAGGGGTTGTGAATTCAATAGGGAGGCAGAAGCTGATTCAGTCTAAGGAAGAGCTTTTGGGAAAAATAGACTGTTGAAAGATTTAGATTTCGTCTCACTGGTTCTTTTGTAATGTTTTGCCCCTCAGTTAGCAGTTATGGCCTCTGGTTCTTCAAGGCAGTGAGATTATGAGTTTTCTATTAAGTTTGAGTGCTGGCATGGTTCTGACTGGTTTGCCCTCAAACTAAAAACCATAAAAATGGGAAACTTGGTGCCATTTCTTCCAAGTACCAGTTCCCTTCCAGTATCATCCTGCTTTTGGTTGCTCTCCCCATTTTTAGAGAGCTATTTTTATTTCTTATCTAGAGTTTATAGCTGTTGATCTGAGCAACATGGATCTGATAGGAGCTACTTGGCCCTACTGACACTGGAAAACTAAGATTTCTTCCTTGTTGTTAGGTCAGTTGTTATTTCTTGCTCCCATCAGTTTGTTAAAACTATAATCAAATGGTTGTATAGGGCAAATTAGAGCAAAAGATCAAATATATATTAATAACAATTCTTTTAAATAAATGACTTTATCTCCTGCTTTTTCAGCATGACAAGAGTTCTACAGAGGAAGAAGTGGAAGTAGAAAAGATAAAGCATAAACTTCAGGAGAAAGAGGAACTAATTAGCAGCCTGCAAGCCCAGCTCACCCAGGCACAGGCAGAGCAAGCTATACAGGTAGGGGTGTATGTCACCTTATAATCATTAAGTTAGCAAATCACTAAAGACCACTGGATTATTATATGACAAATACAATGGATATTTATGTTATCTATCAGTTTCCTTCCTTCTTCCCTTTCTTACCCTCTCTTCCTTCCAGTCCTTCTTTCCTAAGTCTAGTAATTTTACTAAATTATGCATTGGTGTTTGTCATTCTTGGTTGATGTTTATAGATACCCAGTATGCTCTTTCAATATATAGTTACACATATTTTTATTTCACAAGAATTTCCTTAAATAATGTAGCTTGTAGTATTTGGTCTGTTTTCTTTCTTAGGGACTTTTATTCATGTGTTCAATCTTTGATTTATCTTTAATATTTGTCACTTTCGTTTCCTTTTTATCTCATTTTTTTAAAGTTTCTTCTTTTTTTTTTTATTTCACTTAAGGCATTCTATTTTTGTGGGGTTTTTTTTTGGTTTTTTTTTTACTTTCGTGTTCCTTCTTGTTTTGTCTTCTTTTCCAAAATGATATTTTCATTTACATCCAATTCTTCCTGAGTTCTGTTACCTCATTTCTGAGTTTTCTATTTTGATTTATATTATTCTTTCATGTATAATTTTCTTAATTTTTCACACACTTTAAAATAGTTTGTAATTTTGTTTTGTTTTTTGAGCATAACTCTGGTATGCTTTTATCACCTGTAAGTATAGTATTCTTATTCTACAGCTTAGTTTTTGTTTTTTTTTTAATTAATTTTCTTCAACTTTTGAAATGAAGCTTGGTTCAGGAAAGCTTTTCTGACTTAACAGACCTCTCTCGCTCTTCTGTTGTTTTTTGTGTTGTGTTCAAAGATATGGCAGCTGGATTTCTAAGATTTTCTGGCTTTCTTCCCCATACCCTTCACTTTGGTGTATGCCAATATTGTCCAATAGTAATACAATGTAAGCCACCTGTATAATTTAAAAAATTTTAATAGCTACATTACAAAAGGTAAAGAAGAAACAAATGAAATTAGTTCTAATAGTATATTTCATTTAGTCCAATATTATACTCTCAAAATATTGCACTTTCAGGATTACTATAAAAATTATTTTTTTCCCACCCACAATCAAATTTTTGGGAAGTAGGCAAAGGGTAGGAAGGGCCAGAGAGATTTGGGGAATCCTGGAGCAAGGGGGTTTATTGTTTCTCAGGGCATAGCCCGGGGGAAACTGCAAGCCCTTTAGAGGAGTCAAACAGTCACTATATTCAGTATGCAGAGCAGCCAGCTGTGGTTTATTGAAATGTCTGCAGGAGAAGTCTAGGTAAATAAGCTTGCACTAGCACCTATGGTTCCCATGGCATCTGTGTGTCATCTAGGGAGTCAAGAATTTCTCATAGCACTGTGGGGGATGCATAAATGCTGAGAGGACTGGAAGAGACATGGGATCAGGACAAGGAGGCTGCAGAATATGGGGACTGTGTGACTGGAGTCTATAGTAAGGACTACACATTTCAAAAGTGGGTTCAAGTTGGAAACAGGTGGAGCCAGCCTTACTGCAGCAGGCTACCCAGCCAGTTGGGACAAGCTAGACCAGAGCATGTCAATACCAAAACGTCTCTACCTGAAAGCTGCAAGAACTTGGAAAGCCCCAGGAGAGAGAAAAAAGATTTAATTTTTTGAGATTAGATCCTGAAGGAATTGAGATAATACCTGAAAAGCATTGGCTAAAACTGGAAGAGACTGAGTTATGTTCATTGATAAGTTGAAGATGTTGTTTTTGCTGAGTGGGCTCAAAAGCAAGATATGATTCCTTATAGAAAATAATTACCCTTTTTTGTCACTTTGAATTGTGGCATGTGTTGTCAACCTTATTATATTTTTAATAATTATTTCAGTCATTCAACTTCTATTTAATGGCCATCTGCTATATACTAGTTATTCTGCTTATAACTCTTGCCGATGTTTTCAAAACCCTATTTTGAAACACTCTCCCTGTGACCACATACTCTCCTGGAGACTCATGTAGGGCTCTTCAAGCCCAGCTTCTGGAAACCCAACTCTGCCTTTCCTTACGGCAGAGAATCCTTCTCCTTCAAAATACTCCCTTTAATATTTTCTGGGGATTTTGCAAGCAACTGACTGAAACAGAAGGTGTGTTAGGCCTACATATGTAAATGTATGTGATACAAGTTTGAAACTTTAAGTCACATGCACTTGGTCTCCCTTGAATTAGCTCTGTGGTGATCCCACCTCCTTTCCTGAATGTTAAGGCTAAAGCAATGGATGGAGGTTTCTTTGTGATGTAACTCAAAGATGGAAAAGAAAAGAAAAAATCATTGTGTATTATTTTACATTTTTTTCTGCAATAAGTCTGAAATTTGGTCTATATTTTATACTATGTCTCAATTTGGATGCTATGTTTTTATTGAAAGTAATTCATCTGTGCTTAGATTTCATTAAATTTCCAGTTGAGAAAATAGATTCATTTAACCATGTTCCAAACATACCTAAAAGCTTTCCAATAACTGAACTGAGCGATAAAACATCATTTTCCTTTCATAGTTTCATCTACATTGAGAAACTGTTTCATTCTTTTAGGAGAATAATTTGCATTTGAAAAGCATATCAACTTCAAAGCTACATCTGTGAGAAATGAAAGCATATGTTCATACAAAGACTTGTATACAAATGTTCATAGCATCTTTACTTATAATAAGCAAAACCTTGAAAGAACTCATGCATACATGAATATTTAAACTATGATATTCCACATAATGAAATACTACTTAGGCATAAAATGGAATGAACTACACATCAGCACTGTGCCTTCATTGTAAACTTAAAAATGTGCCCATATTTATTTTTAAACTAGAAAAATAATTCAGTTATAATTAAAATAAGTATTTACACGCCAATTTAATTGCTAGTTATGAGTTACCTAGGTATCAAGTGTTACTCATCCTGTCTGCAGAGAGCATTAGAATAAACACATTATTACAATATTACATAGATGTGTAGAGAAAATATCATTCACACTGAATCAATCCATTGGCACTGACTAAATAGGTGATGTGTTTATTATAACACTAGAAACAACATGCACACTTGTTACTTACAAGAGAATTCAACAGTATCTTATATGATGCAGTGAAGTGAAATGTAGTCATACCAAAACATAGTTGTATTTAATAGGAAAAAAATATATTTCTTTAGTGTTTAAATTTAAATTAATTACAATTAAATAATGCTAATTAAGTTCCTTATTCACATGAGGCCTATTTCAAGCCCTCTGTAGCCACATGTGGTTAGTTGATAATGAGTTAAACAGCACATGTATAGGCATTCTTTTTCTTCTGTTTTGGTTATCCCAATTCTGCTTAATTTTTATTTCATTGATGGACATTTCTTAGTGCAGGTCCGTATCTTGGAAAGCAGCCCTGCTAAGTCAGTTTTGAGAGTTCAGAGGGGCTAGATTGTTTTAGCCTTTTATTCCTTCTTACTGATGACCCCCTGCATTTACCCAATATTGGAGATTGGGAAAGTCCTGCCAATTTAGCCTGCTGTTCTAAGACTGGGCAAATGTGTTTTCCAATAAGTGCTTATTGGCTATTTTGGTGTTTTCCTATTCTCAAGGCCAACAGCTGTTGCCCTGTTGCTTCCTCTGACACAGCTCTCTGGTGGGTTGTTCCTACCTGCTTGTATTTTTAGGATTTGGGACTACCTTCCGAATATTGTCAATATTGTCCATGGGTTTTTGGTTTTGCCTTGTAGTTGTACTGTCTCTTTCTATGTGAGAGACATTAAAGAACAGCTGCTGTTGCTTCTATCTTCCTCTGAAAAATAGTTTGATAATTATTTTTTTTAAAACCACAGTACCTGCAATTCCCTTTTGTGTTAACTAGAGAATAAAAGAAGGATATTGGCAGGTATTTAGGGCAAACAAGAAAGGGAAGTGAAAGAATAGAATGCTAATTCTTTTGATTAAATAATTTTTTTTTCCTTCTTATCTTCAGTTTGATAAGAGTTCGACAGAGATGGAAGAATTTTCAATGATGAAGCAACAGCTCCAAGAGAAGGAGGAACTCATTAACTCTCTGCAAACCCAGCTCAGCCAGACACAGGCAGAGCAAGCTGCTCAGGTAGGGTGCAGGGCACCTCATAATCATTAGAATAAAGAATCACGAAAGTCTGATGGGTTATTATTACATGACAAGTCAATTAGGAAAGTCACTTTTTAGCTAGAATGTTACAGTAGAAATTTAAAGGATGTGGTAGTAGAAGAAATTAGAAGTATTTATTTACCTTGTTGAATTTGCCATATCCTAATTGATGACTGTTTCTTAGTTCTGCAGGCCCAGCAATTCGATTTTAATATCACACAGAGATTCAGTCTCTTAGGAATGGGCTCGTGCTAACTTGAAAAGAGACTGATAGGTAAATTAAAAGAAACAACACATGATTAGGTCCATTCTTTCCCTATAGTAAAATCTTTATAGGAAGTTAAATTATAATCAGTAGATTACTTAGTGAGTATGTAATGAGAAAGTGGAATAGGTTATTTGATTCAATGTTAAATGGCACCAGTATGTGACATTTTGGTTCATATTTTTTTTCTGCTACCAGAGCCAGACTGTTTGGATTGGTATCCTCAGCTCTTCCTTTCTGACTACCATTTTTTAAATTTCCAGTTTGACCACCCAACCCCTTATTTTTCTTGTTTGGATTGGTATCCTCAGCTCTTCCTTTCTGACTACCATTTTTTAAATTTCCAGTTTGACCACCCAACCCCTTATTTTTCTTTTGGGAATGCTTTTTTTTTTTTTTTTGAGGCATCCTGCTACCTGTTGGCAGCTCAGCGGCAGCTCAGCTCAGGCCGGGCATCGAACCGCTATTGCTCAGAGCTCAAACTCTTGAGCGAGTTCTTAACCAACTGAGCCACTCGGCCGGCCCTTGGGAATGCTTTTGACTCATGAAACTTTTTTTTCCCTCAAGTGCGATAGCTAATCTTATCCATCAGGTGTTTACTTTATTGATAACTTATAGTATTAGTGGTGCTTTCTGTCTGTGGATGGTCTATGGCTGTCTTTTACAGTTAGAATTGTATGTCCTGAAATCCTTTTATCTATTAGCTTTTATTGTGTCCTTTTTATTTATAAGCACTATATGAGCATACTATGCAGGAGGGGGAAATTCAAAATGTGAATTTATCCACAAGGAGCTTAAAACATGGAAACCCAAGATATTTAAATGTTTTAACAGATCCATCATAACACAAGCCATTCAGAGTAAGTGTATAGCAAACAAAGTATTTTGAGAAGTGAAAGAGGTTACTGTGTGTGTGACAACCGAGGAAGATTACATGGAAAAGTTAAGAATTTAGGCAAAACTGTGATGGATAGATACTATTCTAGACAAGGTGGAGGAAGGTATTCCATTTATGGAGAATGATGAGAGCAGAGTCTCAGAGAGGAAAAAGAACATGGTACATTTTATGTGAAAGGATATGTATATGTGTTTGATTAATGAAGGACTCCAGTGCCTATATACTTGAAACAGGATTCCAAGTTTTTAGTGATGTCAGAATTCAGATAACCAAAAATTTTTGAGATTTTTGTCCTACCTAGAAGGAAAGCCAACGTTAATTCAAGGCACCATAAATTGAGAAATCAGCAATAGTTAAGGTCCAGTAAGTACAAAATGGGCATCCGAAGAGCTGGTAGTCATGCTTTATCAGAGATCTTAAGGAAATGAATAAGCAGGCTCACACGTACAAAACCTCAAAACAAAACAACGCTGATGCTGAACAGCTCACAATCACTCAATTTATTTCCATTTCATCCTGTTAAGAGCTAGTAACAAATGAGGGTGATCTAAAAATCTTCAAATAATGACAGCTGAACATAGCTGTCTGAGAAGATGGTGTGGGTTTGGAAGTATACTATGTTCTTTAGTAGAAGCAATTCTTTGAAAATAAGTCTAGAAAGAAAGATTTGTATATCCAGTTGTAGAGAGTCTCGAATAAAAGATCCATTAGTTTGAAGTTTGGCCTACAGGGCATGAAAAGTTCATTGAAAGTTTTTAAGCATGAGTATGATACTGAAAGAAGTGTCTGGGGCTTAACAAAAATCTTAACTTCACTTTGTATATTTAATATTTACATATTTAATATGTATAATAATATTTAAAGTTCCTTAGAACTTTAAAAATATATGTACCAGTTGTATATTTAAACATTTCTAGTAAACATGCAAATATAGTTTTCAATCAAGATTTATATTTAGGCTGACTTCTGAGTTTGGTAATAGACTTTCTACACATTTGGAAGTTACTGTCAGGCCTGTCTCTCTTCTAACATTCTCGTCGTTGACATTCAAAATTTAATTTAAAAAGCCTATTGCCTGTCAGTGCTCATTGTCTATCTTTTTTGGAGAATAGTCTATGAGTTTTGTTTGTGTGATATTCGGGGAGTGTAACTTGTATAGTTTCTCTGGTGTGTGTCTTTAGTTGAGTTCCATGCAGCAGGTGGTCCGAGAGAAAGATGCCCGCTTTGAAACACAGGTTCGTCTTCATGAAGATGAGCTTCTTCAGTTAGTAACCCAGGCAGATGTGGAAACAGAGATGCAACAGGTGTGTTGCTAAAACTTAGTAGAATGACTATCATTTTATTTAACATTTAATTGAATTGTCACAGCCACTTTTTTACCTTTACCCACTGCTCTTCACATGGTTTTAGCGTGCTCCTTAATTGGCTTCTTTTTGGTGGACTTGTTTCCTGTTGCATATTAATTTTTTATTTGTTCTTATCCTTACCTTGCCTCTTAACCCTTTAACCAGGTTGTTGGTACTCAAAAGCTGGGTTTAATTGGCAAATGTATGTGGTAGTCAGAAATTGGTTTCTCTTTGGTTCGCTGATCATAGCTACCTTTGTGCATTAAAAACCTGATCCAAAGCTTCAAATCAATGAAGCCAGTTTTAAACTTACAAAAGGTTAAAGATGAGAAGGAGTGATTTTGAAGCCATAAAGTTTGTCATTAAATCATTAATTCTTTTTTAAAAAATTGGTTGAGTATATCTTGAAAATTGGCTTCACTGTTTTTGAGCTTATCATCCACTAACAAAGGTATTTGTTTCTACTTAGTGTGTAGTGCAGTGTGAGACCTAAGGGCACGCCAGTGGTATTTCATGATTGATCCATTTAATTGTTTTGAGTAAAAACTTCCAAGTTCTAAGCAGTCCTTCAGAATACACCGCTAAATAAGGTTTCAGAATAAACGCTTTTTTAAGTAGAATATTGATGTGCACATGTGCCATTGATTTATTCATTCAACAAATGTTTATCGAGTGCATGTCACTTGCATGACACTAGAAGAGCAATGGTTCTTGCCTGCAGAGAATGTCCTCTTTGGTGAGTGAGATATACATGTACCTATATATGTATGTAGGTATAGGACATTGACTGTATCATTTGAAAAGTGGGTATGTGTCATTTCTTTAATTAGTCAGAAGGCTTCCTAATCCAGGGACTTCCTGTGTCTCAGTTTGGTGGTTGTCAGTGCTCTGCAGGCGACGTTTTCAGATATTTTTTCTTGCTGCTGGATGGGGAGCATGGCATGCTGGTGTCCCACTCTTTAATCTGTCATCCTCAACATCCAAAAATCTTAAGTGCACACATCTCCATGACATTTTGAACGGTAAGCAGACAATGGTGCTTATTTGTTAGGACATTATATCTAAAACGTTTTCTTCTCAGAAACTGAGGATGCTGCAGCGGAAGCTTGAAGAGCATGAAGAAGCCTTGCTGGGCCGGGCTCAGGTCGTGGACTTGCTGCAACAAGAGCTGACTGCTGCCGAACAGAGAAACCAGGTGCTGCCCTGTGATCTTCGCCGCCTGCCTTGGGAGTATTCATTTCTACTGCAATTTGCTAGGCAGCAGATATAACATCCTATTATAAGTCTTCAGAGAATTGATGCCACTTATTCATCCTTTCAACACGTTCCCTGTGCTTAAGTGGTGGTGATACAGTGATGAGCAAAACAGATACAATTCTGTTATTGCTGCTCTTTTCCTTTGTGATTTTAGGCTAAGGTCCTAAAATCATCCTAGTTTCTCTAGAATTGTCATAGTTCCCTCTAGGGAGTTTTTTTTCCATCAGGTCTTGAATGGTCCTGTGCATTATGTACTGTCTCTTCTTCCCTTGTTTTAGTTGGTTGCCTTTCTGTTGGATTGAAATAATCCCATGAGGCAATATTCCCTTGAATCTAAAGGTGATCAAGGATGCTGGTGTTCTAAAATCTTGAACTCTGGTATCCCATTATCTCATTCCCTGACTGTAATCCATCATGTCATTCCCTTTCTTACACGGTCCTGATCTTTATTCTCCTTGAGATTCCTTGATCCTTTTAATTTTGTTCCTCTTGTATTGTTAGCTTTTTTTTGGCCTGTCTCCTTTCCCTGTCTGGTATAGAACTGTGTTTGACCATTTGGACTACTCTTTTACCAGCCATGGATTCCCTGCATCCCTGCCCTGCCACATCCAAAAAACCAAATCATATTGTGGAATTGGTGCCTATAGTTCACATTCTCTGCATGTTCAACTGGGTGCGGCATGCTGCTAGAGAAACTCAACCATCTCCTTTCTTCCTAATTTTCAACTCTCCTTGAGAAACACTTTCTTTCTCGTGTAGAAACATATTCCCATATCTCCAATCCTAACAAAACGCATACCCTTCTGGCTGTCATCAGATAATCAGGTACAAACCCTAGTTGTGCCACTTACTAGGTAGGTCCTATATAGATAGTTACATAGATGTGACTTTTGATAAATTTCCCTTCTTCTGTGCCCCTTTTAATATCTTATAAGTGTCACTTTCGTGGCCTCTGTCATTTTACATTATAATGATCTGTTTAAGCGTGATTCTCCCACTGAACTTTGAGTTCCTTAAGGGCTGGGATTGGATTCATTCACTCATTCGTTCATTCATTATTTATTGAGTACCATATACTCAAGATACCATATACTGTACTATGTGCTGGAAAGTAATGATAAAACAGACAAAGTCCTTTCTCTTATTGAATTTATTTTGTATTGTGAAAGAGAAGTTCAAAGATAATGACACAAATAAATGTATAGGAATACAAACTGTCAGAAGTATCAAGCAAAAATAGAGGGTCTTAGGCAATTGTAGGTTTGGTCCTGAGTGTCTAGCCCCATGCTTCACCTAGAAGAGACACTTCACTATGCTTATTGAAATGAAAGAATGAATTTATGGTTCATGAGGCTTTGTCCTTTTTTCTTAGATTCTCTCTGAGCAGTTACAGCAGATGGAAGCTGAGCGTAATACTTTAAGGAACACTGTGGAAACAGAAAGACAGGAGTCCAAGATTCTGATGGAAAAGATGGAACTTGAAGTGGCAGAGAGAAAATTATCCTTTCATAGCCTGCAGGAAGAAATGCATCATCTACTGGAACAGCTTGAGCAAGCAGGTCAAGCTCAGGCTGAACTGCAGTCCCGGTTCAGTGCTTTGGAGCAGAAGCACAAAGCAGAAATGGAAGAGAAGACCTCTCACATTTTGAGTCTCCAGAAGACTGAGCAAGACCTGCACTCTGCCTGTGATGCTCTCAACGATGAAAATTCAAAGCTTCTCCAAGAGAAGAGCGAACAGGCAGTTCATTCAGCCCAGACCATTCAGCAGCTGGAAGGTCAGTCAGTGTTTGATTGCTTTTGAAGCCCACTTATCCAGCACCTGAGTGTTCCTTCTTCAGAATTTCAGAGATCTGTTAATGTCATCATTTGCTCAAACCAGTTGAATCAAAAGAAGGCTAAGAAAGGCATCTCTTTTGAACTCTTTGTTGCATTTCTCCTGTCTCTGACTGAAGTTATAATCTTGCTTAATACTATAATTATCATTACCGTTATGATGTGTCAGATATTTAAAAGAATGCTGTGTGATCTGAGGGGTTCAGTGACAGAAATGAGTAGGAGTTGAATTAATTGGTGGAAAACTCAGACCAGATCTAGGTGCATAATTAGGGAGACTGAATTGCATAAAGTCATCCTTCTAAAGATGGATGCTTTTCTTAAAATTGAAAATTTCTTTTTAATAAAAAATTTATCCTTAACAAAACTTTAAAGAAACCTTATTTTTTACAAAACGTGTTATTATTAAAGCAATACATGCCTCTAATTTAGTTTAACTCTAGTACATTGGCATATATCTAAAGGAAAGATTTTGAAAAGGTTAAGTTGAAGATCTGTATTGAAGAACTGCATGTTAACCGGAAAGCCTGGAGGGGCATTCCATGGGAACAGTGTGTTACTCCTCTTAATAGGACCACGTTCATGTTTAAAACCATGCTACAGAATCTCAGTGGGATTCATAATACTATAAGTGAAGAATGAAGAGGAGGAAAAAAATAACGCTAAAGGCATTTTCAAGGGGAAAAGGAAAAAAAAAATGCTTAAGCCTGTTTTACCTTTGAAGCTAGTGGCTTACTGAGATGCCCTTTGGTACTTGAGAGTATTTAAATGGTTAAAAATATGTTGTCATTGGCATCATAATTTTAATTAAGATAATAAAACTAGAGTAAACAGCATATGATGTATCCTGAATAGCTCACTAAGTGTCAGACTTGAGGGAGAGATCATTTCTATTATTTTCTTTTCCTTAGATCAACTCCTGCAAAAATCCAAAGAAATTAGCCAATTGCTAAATAAACCAACCTTGCAAAAAGATGAAACAGCATGTCAGACTTCTTTTCCAGATGTTTCTAACGAATGCGCACAGGTAATTAAATGTGCACTTCTTATGAATATGATCAGTTTGTCTTTGCTGTATTTACACTCGTGTGTTCTATTAAGAATTTATTCCAGAAAACAGTATAAGCCTTCTTTCTTTTATGCCTGATGAAGTGCTTTTTATGAAGGAATCATGAAAGACGTTAATGTAGTGTCTCAACAATGAATCGTGAGAAAAAAGTAGATAACAAGCACCATGATCTCAGGAGCCTTTCTGATTCTGAAGTTTTAGAAATCTGTATTGGAGATGAATCTTTTTTAATCTTATAATCAGTTTTCTCAGCTGAGAAGTCAATTTTTTTTGGTAGACTGAGATTTGATAAGGTTTACTGTATACAACTCAGCCTAACCCAACTTGTAAGTTTATTACAGAAATCATAATGCTCCCATTGATTAATTAGCAGTAAAAAGTTTAATAGCCAAGTGGCTATTGATGGCCAGTATAGTGTCTCTTCCTTCTATAAAAACCTCCAGAAGGTTGCTAATTGAGCATGTACATCAGAACAAGAAGAGTTAGTTTGATGATCTTAATTTAACTCGTGTCATACTGGGATAACTGGATTCATTCGTCTCCATTATAAGATTATACCTTCCCAAACTGACAGACGTATTGGCCAGCAGAATCCCACACTTCCTGGGCAGTACTGTGCACTGATAAAAATTTTTGCTTCCTGGTTTACGGCATCTAGGCTTTCCAGGCTCTTCTGTTCTCCTGTTCTCAACTTTTTCCTCCGATGTTTTAAGACATTTTCAACAATTCAAAAAAAAATGAAAGAATTTTATAGTGAACACCTGTATACACACCATTTAGATTGTATCATTAACATTTTTCTGTATTTGCTTTATCAAATATCCATTTATCCATCCATTTATTCATCTCAATCTTTTTATACATTTTATAGTAGATTGTAGACACCAGTACTTTCCTCTCTAAGTATTTCAACAAGTGAATCATTGGCTGGGTTTTAATATTTGTTTATCGTTTTTTTTCTTTTGAAGTAAGATTTACAAAACATGAAATGAAGAAATATTAAGGGGATAATTCATTGAGTTTTATAAAATTCATTAAGTTTTACCCAAATTCTCATCAAGACATGTTACCAGCATCACCCCATAAAGTATCTTCATACCCTTTTGCAGTCAACCCTATTCTTCCCCTCCAGAGATGACTAATATTCGAATTTTTCACTATAGATTAATTCTGCCTGTTTTACATCATATAAATGTAATCATACATATGTGCTCTTTTGTGTAAAGCTTCTTTCACTCAGCATATTATAAGTTTCATCCATATTGTTGCATATATCATAATTCTTTTGTATTACTGAGTATTCCATTTTATGAATATGTTGCATTTTCTTTTTGCATGGTTGTGCTGTAATTTCCTTTTGATAGATATCTGAGCTTTTTCATGTTTTTTGCTATTATGAATTAAGGTGTTATGAACATTTTTTTTTTTTTAAGATTTTATTGGGGAATTGGGGGGAGGGTAACAGCGTTGGGGAATCGGGGAAGGGGAACAGACAGGTAGACAAATTGCTGGTTTTGTTCTTCAGTCTAGTTGTGAAGAATGTCACTTCACTGGCCCATGTTAGTATGATCATTGTGCTCTTCCTGTGTGAGGCAGTCGGTCGCCGGTCGTTGGTCGGCTGCTCACAGCGGCTCCTGGTAGCTCACACCAGCTACCAGCCGCTCACGCTGGCTGCCAGCCACTCACATAGCTCACAACAGCCCACTGCAGCCCTGCTGCAGCCTATGCCATCACCAGCAACTCACAGCAGCCCAGCTCCAGGTCGAGCTGTTGTTCATCATCTTAGCTGTAGAGGGCGAGCGTCACTGGCCCTCAATGTGGGATCCGAACCACAGCCCTGCTGCTCAGAGCTGGTGCTCCCAAGCGAGCTCTTAACCAGCTGAGCCACTCGGCCAGCCCATGAACATTCTTATACAAGTTATATGGACATATGTTTTCATTTATCTTAAGTAAATACTAGTTGAGAAATTTCTGGGCCATAGAGTAAGCATGGACCTATTTAGCTTTATAAGAAACTGCCAGATCTTTTCCCAAAGTGGTTGTATTATTTTATACTCCCACCTAAAATATATGAGAGTTCTAGTTGCTCCACATCTTCTCCAAGATTTGGTATTGTCCGTTTTTAAAATTTTATTCTAATGGGTGTGTTAGTGACATCTTCTTGTGGTTTCAATTTGCATTTCTCTGATGACAAATGGTGTTGAACATTTTAACTTGAGATTCTTGGCCACTGGTATACCTTCTTTTAGTAAAGCGTGTGTTCAGGTCCTTTCCCCTTTTTAAAACTGAGTTCTTTGCCTTTTTGGTATCAGGTTGTAGGAATTCTTTACATATCCTAAATGCCAATTTATGATCAGATATGTTTGATGAATATTTTCTCCCTCATGCTGTGGCTTGCCTCCTATTAATTTTTTCATGATGTCTTTTTAAATTAGCAGATATTTTAAATTTTGACAGTCTATTGTTTATCATTTTTTATGGTTATAATTTTCTGTGTCCTGTCTTTGAAACCTTTGCTTAACATCAAGTTGAAGGTATTCTCTTATATTTTCTTCCACAGCTTTATGGTTTTAGCTTTCAAAGTTAAATCTGTGAACCTCAGTAAATTTTTATATGTGGTGTAAGATAAGGATCAACAGTGCAAATTATTTATTTTTCGCATATGGTTAGCTAGTTTCAGCACCATTTCTTGTTAAGACTGTTCCTCATTAAATTGCTTTGGTACCTTTGGTGAAAATCAAATGGTTAATAAGTCCATTTCTGAGCATTTTATTTTGCTGTATTGATCTATTTGACAATCCTTATGCCAGTATAACACTGTCTTCGTTACTGTAGTTTGTAGTTAGACTTGAAGTCAGGTAGTATAAGTGCTCTGACTTTGTTCTCCTTTTCCAGATTACTTTAATTATTCTAGGCCCTTTGCATTTCCATAGAAATTATACATTCAGCTTTCTCAAATTCTATTAAAAAAAAAAAGCTGGGATTTTGAATTGCCACTGCATTGAATCTGTAGACAAATTTAAGGAGAATGGCTATCTTAACACTACTGAACTTTTCAGTCCATGAGTATAGCCTATCTTTCCACATATTTAGATCTTCTTTAATTTCTTTCAGCAACATTTTATAGTTTTTGTTGGAGGAGTTATGCACATTTTAAAATTTATTCCCAAATAGTTTATATTTTTGATGCTATTATAGATGGAATTATTCTTTTTTTTTAGATGGAATTATTCTAATTTCAGTTTCCAACTGTTTGCTGCTAATGTGTCAATGTACAATTGAATTTTGCTTATGAACCTTATGTTATGTGAACTTGGTAAATACTCATTAGTTCTAGTCTCTCTTCATAAATTCCTTAGGCTCTTCTACATAAACAGCCATTCATCTGCAAAGAAAGACAAGTTTTATTTACACCTTTCTAATCTTTATGCCTTTATATCTTTTTTATTCAATGGCTAGGACCTTCATTACACTATTTAATAGAAGTGGTGAGATTGGGCCTTCTTGCACTGTTCTTGATCTTAGGGGAAAGTGTTCCTTTCCATATTTTACCATAAGCTGCACCACTAGTTTTAAGTTTTCCATGAATGTCCTTTATCAGGTTGATGACATTCCCCTCTTCTAGTCCTAGTTTGCTAAGGCTTAGTATTGAATTTTGTCAAATGCAGCTTCTACATTTATTGAAATTATTAATATCATATGGGTTTTCTTCTTTGTTCTGTTAATATGGTTCAGTACTTTAATTTTTGAATATTTAAACCAACTTGGCCTGTTGGGATAAACCCACTTGGTCATAAAGTGTTATCCTTTTTGTATATTACTGAATTTGATTTCCTACTATTTTGTGAAGGATTTTTGTATCGATATTCATGAAGGATATTTGTTGTAATTTCCTATTTTGTATTATCTTTGTCAGATTTTGGTATTAGGGTTATAAAAAGTTATTTTGGTATTAGGATCATAAAGTAAGTTGGGAATTATTCATTTCTATTTTCTGAGTTTGTGTAAGATTATTATTTTTTCTTAGGTGTTTGAAAGAATTCAGTGAAACCACCTGGGTCTGGAGTGATAATGAATTGAATTTCTTTTTCAGATAAAAGGCTAATAAGATTTTCTTTTTATCTTATGTCAGTTTAGATTTTTTTTTTGAGATTTTGTCCATTTTATTGAAGATGACAAATTTTTGTCATAAGGTTGGTTGTAGTACTCACTATTTATCCTTTTAATGCTTATAAACTTGGTAGTGATACCCACCCCTACCCAAACCCTATTTTTTTTAATAATTGACATAACACTGTATAAGCTTTAAGGTATACAATGATGTTGATTTGACACATTTATATATTATAGTGTGATTATGTTAGCTAACACCTCCATCATGTGACTTAATTCTTTTTTTGTTATGCTGAGAACATTTAAAATCTAGTCTCTTAGCAACTTTGAATTTCCTAATACAGTGTTGTTAGCTATTATCACCATGTTGGGTATTAGAGCTCCAGAACTTGTCACCTTCTAACTGTGTGTACCCTTTGTCCAACATCTCCCCAATTTGTGCTTCATTTTCTTGATCAGTCTTAACTAGAAATTATTCAACTTTTTTTTTGTATCTTTTCAAAAGCCAACTTTTGACCTTATTGATTTTCTTTATTGCTGGTCTGTTTTCACTTTTATTGATTTCTGCTCTTGTAATTTCTGTTATTTGGTTTTACTTTGCTCTTCTTTTTTTAGCTTCTTTATTTATTTTTAATTGTTTTTTAAAATTTTTATTAAATTTATTGTGACATTGGTTAGTAAAATTATATAGGTTTCAAGTGTACATTTCTGTAATACATCATCTGTATATATATTGCATTGTGTGTTCACCATCCAGAGTCAGTTCTCCTTCCATCACCGTATATTTTGACCCCCTTTACCTTCTTCTACCTCCCTGCTCCCCCCTTACCCTCTGGTAACCACTG